AATAATTGGTTTCTGTATTGATGTTAATAATAGTTAATAATAAAAACAAAAAGCAAAGCAAAAAAAAAAAAAAGGTAAAAAAAAAAAAGGTAAAAAAAGGACGGGTAATGGATCTTTTTTTTTTTTTTTAGTATAGGAGATATGAGATTTTAGACAAAGGATTGCAAAACAAAAATTAAGCAAAAAACAAAAAAAAAATGTATAATAATTAGTGAGTGGAAATTTGTAAATTTTAACGTCTTTTCTCCTAATTAATAAAATAAATAAACATAAGCATGTTATTCTAGTGTTTTTTTTAAATAATTTTAATAACATTGAGTGATGCGCAAGGGGAAAATTTTCTTGGCGAAATTTAAATATTTAAATATAAATATTAATTAATGAACCTTTTTTGTTCGAATAAACATCAAAATGGATATTGCATATGACATGTGAAAATATCTGATCATGCGATTTACATTTAATAAATTAAATTAAACCTTTTAATTATAAATTTTTATACGATAAGGCCATATAAAAAATTTTTTTTTAGCAATCAAAAAAGAACTTTTATAAAATTTTTATATATGAAATTTAAAAAAAGAAAGCAGCTAGATATATTTAAAAATTTCATGTTATGAAAACCAAGATATAAATTTTTGATATTGTATAATACATAAACTTTTATTTATGATAAAGATTAGATTATGAAAAGCTTAATCATTGTACATATCGTGTAAATAAATATGTTAATATAATTAATAACACATTTAGAATAGGAAAAAAATTATATGTATATTTGATCCATCAATCTTTTTAACCTTTTTTTTGTATTATAAAAGTTCAATGAGGTTGACAATTTCGTCAAAAGTTTCATCTATATACTTCTATATATATATACAAACAATTATTGTTATATACTTTCTTATTTACAAGGGAAAAAAAGTAATCTTTTTTTTTAGGCTAATATTAATACTGAATTATACTAGAAAGGAATGAATGAAAAAAAACATTAGAGAAGTAAAAAGACATAAAACTGTAAGAAGAAAGAAATTCATCAACGGTAGTGTTTAGAAATAACAAAATCCGAAAGATTTCACTATCCGTCATACGAGTCTAAACCAGATAAAATATACGTGACTAGTTGAAAAATAGAAAATTCTATTAGATAAATTAATACTTGGTATTCTTTATTTTTAAGAATTTCATCAATAATTTACATATAACAAACAATTCATAGAGATAATAAATAATAAATACCCTTTAAACCATCTTTTTTGATGAAGAATGATCATCGGAGGCTTTCTTTAAAGGAGAGCTAGTTGCGACTACAATCCCTGATCCACTTAAATCATCACCAAATGCTAAATAGACAGTCTCACATAAAACATCACGAACTGAAGAGTTCATATTTCCACAACCGTATAACTTAGCATTTGCTTTTCGAAGTGCTAATACTTTCTTGGCAAATTGAAAACGATCACTTGGAGCAGCAAAAGGAAAAGTTTGTGCTTCTAATGCAGGTTTTAAAAACTCAAATGGCAATTCAGCATAAATCTTTGTCAGATGTTCAAATCCATGAGCAGGCCATTTATAAAATTGAAAAACTTCCTGAGGAAGCAAAGCCGTTAAATAGAAAATGATGGCTACACGTAATTCTTCAGGAGACGCACCCAAAAAAGGAACGGTTCTGTGCATAGCGATATAACTATGAACATTCTCAAGACAAAGAAGGTCGATGAATTCCACAAAGACTGAAGTGTGCCCGTTACATGGTGGATATTCAAAAGGAGGAACCGGTAATGACCAGTTATTTTTCATCAAGGATAACGGGATTGTTCCTACCCAAATCATGTCACAGATATGATCTTTTTCAGAAAAACAAATTTGATGAGAATCTACGAGAGGAAAAGGTTTCGATAACCAAATTGGTGAATTTTTAGACGTTTCGAATTGTAGTATTAGATCATGACTTTGAGTTGAGGGTAAATCAGCACACGGAAGACCATAGTTGGGTAAAAATAGAGCAAAGAATAAATTAGGGTCAGGTAAAGCAACCACTGACAGATTATCTAAAGGCTGTAAAGAAACTTCATTAATACAAGTCGCAGCACCGTAAGAAGTCATGACAGGACGCGGTCGTGATAAATTTTTCCGAGTTCTTGAAACAAAAAGATTGTTTTAAAGGACCGAAAATTTTTTGACAGAAATTGATCGCATTTATATTGTTTTTTTGCGTATTTGCTGCGTGAATAGTTTTATTACCGTTTTTGGAAATTTCTCACATGAGTAAACTTTTCAATGATTGTTGTACATACGTACGTACGTACGTACGTATTTACGTACATATCAGATATAGTTATCTGTTATTAGGAATAGCTAGCTATATAAATAACTATACTGCGCCACCACCATCAAATCCTTTTGTGTAAAATTTTCAATATAACGATAATAAGACTCAGTGAATCTATTTACGTTGTATTGTTTCATAAAATGCTATAATTCTATGTCGGAATTAAAGTAACTAATGTGACGCAGATGTCGTGTGTCATTGTGCAGAGTGATGTGATGCATTAAATATGTTTTGAGAAAGGGGATTACCAAACCCGTGCCGATTATTTGAATTATTATAAAACGTCCCGTCATTTCGAACATTAGATGATGAATCCAGTGAACTTTGATTGTAATGATCATAACTTCGGGGTGTTTCATCATATCCATTATCATTATATCGGGAAAAGTCGTTGATGTTTGATTTAATACTACGAGAATCATCACTTCTATATCTGGAATCATCATTATGGTATCTGGAAGAATCATTGGTATCCGATATTTGCAATCCATCCAGAAAATTAACAGTACGATTTCGGTCCATTCTAAATTCCAAAATTCGGTAAGCATTTATTATATATTTTTTACAAAATAAAAGAGGTTATTGATCATATATTATACCTGTTTGATGACTCTCCAACTTCATTGTCTTTAATAGAACTAAGATTATTGCTACTTCGAGAGTACAAATCGTCACGATCTCTATCGGAGTAATAGGTACTATAATTAGCTATAGTAGAATTAATAGGATCTGATCGTTGACGTGATGTTGACGGAGACCTTGAACGTCTTTCTCGCACATGACGTTCCTGTGATGACCTATTTCCTTGATCGTCATGTTCACTATCACGAATTATTACTATTGGACTATTGCTTGCATGCATTACAAGACGAGCTCGTCTTCCAGATGTTGAATTTTCACTGGAATCATTATTGTAATGTGAACGAATC